TTCTTTTCCTTCTTTTTCTATGTTTCACAATCATCAGTTCGTCTCAGCAAATTTAACTATCTTAGATGTATCCTTCCTGAATGCTATTGCTTAGTTACTAGCTAATTCAATCTAAATTTAATTACATTTTAACTGTCTATCTAGAGAAGAATCATTAAGTTATTGGGTGCTTTTAGTGACACAGTGAGTAACGTGCTACGGAGGGCGGTGCACACATATGGCAAAATCCCAGCATGGGAGCTGAACACGCAGCAGCTGTGACCAGACATGGTGTGTTGCCCAACACAAATCAGTTAATCACTAGTGCCACTGATTGTTCCCAATACCAGATTGATTACCCTGTTTTAATAATAGCAGTCAGCTAATTTTAAATCAATTTACATGGTATACCCCCTTTTGTTCCACTTTGATTTGATGATCTCTCTGAACCTCAAAATGAACCAGAGACACTTTTATTTCTGATTTGTTTATTTTCAACGTGTTCTAATTTTATGACCGGGTCAGCTAAATATCTACAGCGGATCTAAATATTTATAATTAATTATAACTAGTTATGATTAATTATTCATATTCCCCCATGAGCTGAGTCACTACACTGCTTTCTTTTGGTTAACGTGGCAAATCCATGTGACCTACTTGAACCTGTTGCAAAATCTGCATGAGAAAATCTTTCACCCTTGTGCAAAACTCCCAATCTTGTGAATTCCTGGATTTCGTTTGTGAAAATTCGCCAAACAATGGGAAACATGAGCCCACATTTAGGCTGCTTTGATTTGTCTGTGGTTGCAGAATGTTGGCTTTTCAGTGTATGTTTGCTTTCTGCTGTATGGTTATAGTGTATCGCTCACCTCTCTCTCTCTCTTTTAGAGAGAAGTATAGAGCAGCAGGTTCTCCAGAGCGAGTGTAGACGTCTGGAGACGCAGCATTACAATCTCACTCTGACATCTGAGCAGCTTTCTCATAGCATGAGGGTAAGAGCATATTATGTATTTGTATATTTTTGCATATTTTATTTTTTAAAGATTATTACATTTTTTATGTTTTATTATTTTTACACAGAAACGGTTAGTAAGCATTTCTTCACACACGTTGTTTACATCTTGGGGCTGTTTCATTGAGTATTTTAATGGTTTTAAATTCACTTCCATTGCAATCCCTCAGATTTTTCTTTTTATATTTCTTGCAAGTATTATTCCACAAGTGCTGTAGATTTGGCTTAACTTTCAATTAACCTGAATATTCATTCAGGTGTGTTTTTGCCTGAATATTTTTTTTCATCAACATAGTTTATATATATATATATGTATATGTATATATATATATATATATATATGTGTGACTCTGGAGCACAAAAGCAGTCTTAAGTCGCTGGGGTATATTTGTAGCAATAGCCAAAAATACATTGTATGGGTCAAAATTAATGATTTTTCTTTTATGCCAAAAATCATTAGGATATTAAGTATGTTCCATGAAGAAATTTTGTAAATTTCCTACCGTAAATATATAAAAATGCATTGCTAGGAACTTCATTTGGACAACTTTAAAGGTGATTTTCTCAGTATTTTGATTTTTTTTGCACCCTCAGATTCCAGATATTCAAATAGTTGTATCTCGGCCAAATATTGTCCTATCCTAACAAAACCATACATCAATGGAAAGCTTATTTATTCATGATGTATAAATCTCAATTTCAAAAAATTTACCCTTATGACTGGTTTTGTGGTCCAGGGTCACATACTGTATATATGTTGATGACAAAATATATATATATATATAATAAATGTGTATGTGTGTATGATTATTAATGTGTTAATAATTATAAAATAATTCAATATTATAGAAATATATATTCTAGAAATATATACTGAATGTTAAATAAATATTATAAATTATATATTTTATGTACAATATTTATATAATATTTAAATAAATTATCATGTAATAACCATGTAATCATGTAATGATTGTGTGTGTGTGTATTATATAAATTATATATATAATTTTATTAGATTTATATTTTGTATAAATATTATCATTATTATATCATTTTATATAATTTATAATATTTACAACATTCACCATCTTTCTGAATATCTGCTTATTTATAAAAATTGTGAAACAACTTGAGTAATGATTTAAATAAATAAAAAATGCTTACTACAATACGATTCCTCATCATCGTAATTTTATTTATTTTTTTACATATATATTGAATCAAACATCTGAAAAATAAAGCAAAACAACCGAGAACAAAAAGTAGCAAAATGGTCCTCAGATGACATGTTCGTTATTTACAGTAATAATATCTGACTTTAATTTGATCCCAAACTTGGCAGAAGCATCTGCGTGACGTCATCTTTAACGGCGTTTCTATATAGTTGAACGATTGACTGCGTCAAAGTTACTATGGGTTCTGGAAACCGTTGTAATTAGCTAGTTAATTTCTCCAGTGATGCATGGCACTGAGGTAGTTAAGCAGCGAGTTAAGGCCCGTTCACACCAAGCACGATAACTATAAAGATAACGATAAAGATATAGTTTTAAAAATCTTTCTCAATATTAAAGAATAGCAGAGTTCACACCACAACTATAACGATACAGAGGAACGATATCGGTGTGATCACTTTCAAAACGATTTTTTTCCAACTGATGAACGATAAAAACATTGACAGCCAATCAGAATCAATCCTGCTGTAACGAGCTCAAGAATTTAAAACGGCAGACGCATGTGCGCTTAGAATAAACAGACGATATCGTTAGCTGGTGTGGACGCTAATATCGTTATCTTTATAGTTATCGTTCTTGGTGTGAACGGGGCTTTACTGTATGTCGTTGTAAGGGAAACTCTGGCCAGTATTTGACAATCACATTAACAGAAATGTTAGCTCCCCCTTGTGTCAGCTTCGAAATCTACCAACTGTCAATGGATTATTTTGTGAATTTTGAATAAATATCGTTTAAACAAACTATGTATGTTTGTATGTTTTCTCTTTTTCCCCCGTAACTAGGACCTGTTGGCACAGAAGCACAATCTTGCGCTAAAGAGAGATCGTATGCAGGCCGAACTGGAGCACATCAAGAAATGTTTGACATTGCCATTATTACACTGGCACAGAGGATACTACAAGAGACCTTCTCCAAGGTGACCATACTCACCCTGAAGATGGGCCACAGAGTGACAGGGAGCAATGCGGCCTCACATGAGAACTTCATTTACCGAACATGTGATGATTTCAGCTTTGGCATGAAGAAGATAGACAAGCTATTGTTCATTATCTGGTGCCAGAGTCTGACGCCTCACCTGCACTACAAGTCCAACCACTAGATATAACAAAACAGGCATTTAACAGCCGTCTTGAATATCCATTACTTGACATACGGACTACATTTGACAGGACGTTTGCCAAGAGGTGCAGAAAACCAACCCAGAGCTGGATATGCACTTACAACTGATCTCTCAGACATTTGGTACAAAACTCTTGTTCTGGATGATGGGCCGATGTGGAATTTAGTTCAAATGTTTTCATATTTATACAGTTTTTAAAAGAATATGATTGTATAAAATACTCTCGAATCACATTTTTGTATGTTTTTATTATTAACGATTAATTATAAAATTTGGAATATAAATATTTGAATGCTTTTTGCAGGGAAAAAATGTGTTGACAAGGTACTGCTGGTCAGATCGGGAGAAATGTTGGAGAAAGAAGGAACTGAAGTGGGTTGAATTGAGTTTTCATTTCAAAATTTGGAAAAAAATGTTAGTTTATTAATTGTAATTGTCCGAAAGTCATGAAAGTGTTTGTCATAACAGTGTTCCTGTATGTTTTCTTATTCTCTCTTCGTCTCCCACCAAACCAAAATTTCAATCGACTAGTACACGGCTATTTGAAAATGGAAAATAAACCGATCCAATGTGGGAATTACTTTATAATAACTTTCAATAATGACAAACGGCATATAATATTTAGCAGACCAGCAGTTCATGTACGTTCAAGTGCTTCATGGCAGTTGTTTATGTGAATGTACATTAAATAAATCAAGCAGTCGATCATGATCATATGGATAATCAAAAAATATAAACAAATAATACAAATATATTTAAAATTGTATATATAAAATAAATAAAAGCAAAATGTAGCAGCTGAGGATCTCAAATAATACCAGTGAAATAATAATAATACCAATCAATTGAATATTATATTTTCTGTTTAATTTATCATTTGAATTAATTATTGATTTTTGTATTACTTTATTTCTAAAACGATTATGGAATGACACAAATGGGCCCCTATAAATCAACATTCTGTTCAACATTATATGCTTGTTTAATACTGTCTGTTATGGACTTATTATAATCATGAAAGTAATTATAAAGTGTTACCAAAATGTTTTATGTATAACTTGGCCAATATGATTTAATTTTCAGCCTAGCTGCCACGAGAAGTCCTTTTATACAGAAATTAGTGCCACAATGTTTTGTACGGCAGCAGCTATTGAAAAAAACATTATCACTATATTAATTATAATCTAAAAACGAACACGTTTGACGTGTTGAATTTTAAAGAAATTTCCAATGCCACAAGTCTGTGTCAAGATGTCTATCCTCCACTTTTTCTTTATGACACTTCAAACGCGGACCTGAAGGCCTGTAGTTATTATGGCATATTGTTTAAAACAAGAATGGTTTATGAAAAATCTGTTTGTAGGAAACGGAAAGGAAATGGAACAGCTGTGGTTGTGGCAAAAAGAAAAAAAAAGAAATCTGTAAAATGTTTTTAGTTGTAATTTTTAGTGGAATGAAATGTGAGTTAATATATTATTTGTTGAAGGTAGAAATATTTATGGATATATCTGTGTATATGCTGATGAAAAATTCATTTCTTGCCATATTTTGTCTACAAAAACTCTCATGCAATGAATGAAGTAAGGACTCATTCACAAGAGTAATGTGAATTTTCAGTTGTTTCTTGACTCTTTATGATTTACAAAGCAGCAAAATAAACTTGATATATGCTTTTTGTTTTACTGTATATTATTGTTTATATATTATTCATGCACTCTCCAAGTAAGCGACAGTAACTGGCAGTCAGTTTGTGTTGGCTAATGAAGGTTATCAGGCTGTTTTTCGTCAGTGTTTGGTTCCTCCTATCCTGCTTCACATTGTTCTGTTGAAGCTTGTACTCCAGTTTGTCCCATGCAGTGTTTTTCATCACAATGCATCTTCTTCAGCATCACATGCGTTCAGTCCTTCTGTCTTCCCAGACCTGAAGGCCACCTTCATCTTGTTCAGCAGGTCATTCAGGTCTTTTATGATCCACAGCTTGGAAAACAATACACTGCCTGTGATGGAAGTACTCAGTCTGTACAAACGTTTGCAGAGATTTCTCCATAAAAGCAGTAAATTAAAGGGGTCATATGATGCGATTTCAAGTTTTCTTTCTCTTTGGAGTGTTACAAGCTGATTGTGCATAGATGAGATCCCTGAAGTTGCAAAGACTAAAGTCTCAAATCCAAAGAGATATTCTTTATAAAAGTGCAGACTCGTCCACGCCCCCCTAAAATGCCTCGTTTAAACACGCCCCCACATATCTACATCACGATGTGGGAAGAGTTGCATAACACCGCCCAAATGTTCACGCAAAGAAGTAACTTTTATTCTTGCAGTAGCATTGTTGCTGCCCCCACCATGTCGTGGAGACGCCATGTGTTTCATTGTGAAAGCAAAAATACTTTGTTTGGCCTTCCAAAAGAGGACACGACCAGAAATCAGTGGTTAAGTTGTATTTACAACACTGTTCCAGAACAGTTCAACCCAAATATTCAGATGTGTGCAGCACATTTTATGGAGGACTGTTTCCTGATCCTGGGAGAGTAACGTTAGACTACAATGCCGGCTGTTCTGACTCGCAGGCTGTAAGATTCAAACGCGAGTTTTGAGCAGTGTAGAGTAGCGCTTGTTGTTTGTCATTTCTCAGATCATAAATAAATGCAGACATGGTTTTATGTTTATGTGGCGCGATGCAAAAAATACAGTATATGTCATTATAATCCGTCCCCACTGGATGCAACAACTGCCTTGTTTATAATGGGTTTTAATGTTTTTGTCTCGTTACTCCGGCGGGACACGGCATCACAGTATGTTTAGGGGCGTAACATTTCCGTCTCACGGTATTCAGACAATCATAACACACTGGATAGCTGGCCAATCAGAGCACACCTCGCTTTTCAGACCGATGAGCTTTGTAAAAATCGATGCGTTTCAGAAGGGCATAGAGGAGAAACAATAATGTACATTATGTGGAAAATAATGTGTTTTTTCAACCTTAAACCGCATAAACACATTTCATTACACCAAATACACAACATAGCCTAATGTTCTTTTTAGCAGCATCATATGACCCCTTTTTAAATTGGATGAAATAGTGTGTTTAATATGATATTTCCTCAATGAACTGGGCAGTTGACAAATCACATTCACTTTTAAATTGGATTAATACTTTTTATAGGCCTATACAATTAAGTGAATGTTTAGATGCTAGTGGTCACCATTTTCCCACAAACTTAGGCTACGTGAACTGTCACTGCTTCATCTTCTTAGATATCCTCACAGACCACAACTATCTGCTGATGCTTCATTCGAGACCGGACGCGTAACTTCTTGCGTTCCGTCTGCGCTATTTTTAGTTACTGGTAATGTGCACATGCGTCAGACAGGCGTCTGAACGTTGCGTCGCGTTTCGCAGTCGCACACAAATCGTGTCAGGTTAAAATTGTTAAAGCTTTAAAAAAAAAAACACGTCTCGAGATACTTTACATCTCACAGCGCCCCGTCCTGCTGTGCTTAACGCAAGAGCGCGTTTTGCGAACGCCCGCTTACCTGTTCAAAGAAGCACGCAGGTGAGCAGGACCACGTGACCCTGTATTCCCAATACAGTGATTCCAGGCGACAGACTGTTTAACCGCTGCGCACCTTCCGCGTTTACATGCAGCTGCTCAGCGAGACATGACACGCACTGCTGGCAGTATCTCCAGTATATTTGACGGTTAAAGTGAGTTTGTCAACTTGACACAAGCTGTTTTACTCGTATGAAAGGATTTATGAGAGGACTGCGATGTGGCGTTGTCATTTGATTCTCTATCTAACATGTCTCGCGTTTACTCAGTCTATGGGTAAGTCTTTATTTAAACCTATCTATCTATCTATCTATCTATCTATCTATCTATCTATCTATCTATCTATCTATCTATCTATCTATCTATCTATCTATCTATCTATCTGTCTGTCTGTCT